CTAATTAACAAATTGCTTAATCAAACTTCTAAGCTTGAATAATTCGAAGTTTTGTTTGACAAAGCTCATCCTGCATACAATTTTTATGTGTTAACATACATGCCCCATTTTTAATGTGGCCAATTTCCATAAAGACATTTACAGAAGTTACATGGTTATGTTGTTCTATGTTCCTATACCCTGACCTTGGGAGGAAATTTCCAATAAGATGGATCAGTGTGATAGCTCCTGATAGTTTTTTTTTAGATTTTGTTTATGCTGATAGAGATCTGAGCCAATGAGCTGTAACAATATAATACTATGCTAGCAGGCAATCAGATCACTATTACTTCAAACATCATTTTAAAAGATCTACTTTTTTATTATTTCTATAGCTCCATAGTTCATGGTTCTTCATAGAACTAATCAAAGACAGATTCCCTGCCCCCTAAGAGCTTACAGTCTAGGCAAGTACAAGAACAATAAGAGGAGATAACACAGGCAAGGGACAGAGGGGTAGTAAATGAAGAGAAGGTCAGTTAGATTACAGTTACATGATAAGCCAGTGTGTTTGTCTTAGTGAATACAAGTGGGAGGATGTGATGGTTCCATAACTTCATTTTTATTTAAAACTTCTATAGGAGAGCCATGAAGAAAAGATTTTGAAAATAAATTTGAAAATGTTAGAGGTGCTTGTGGGAAGGCAGAGAAGTAAGCCTGGGAAGGAAAAGGTGACTAACATATCTGAGGATGGAAAGCAATGATCTAGAATGCCAGATGGGTCAATCTCAGCAATCCATCCTTTTCCTTCATATATTTGACAGTATGATAAAGAGCACAATTTCTCCTGCACACCTGAACACAAGCTGGCACTTTATTTTGCCCTTAATATCTAATTAGTATACATTTGACTGAGTACAGAATTTTCTGAAGTATTGAGCAAAATCAAAATTTCTCTACAACAGGAGTTTTGCCACTGCTTTCAAAGGAGCTAGCATTTTGATCGTTATACTTCGAGGCTGTTGATATATTTGGAGACTCCGTTGTATTTGGAGAATGAGTAAAGTCATGTCTAAAGTATAAGAAATATTTTCCTAATATCCCTAAGAGATTAATAATATGAAATTGATTTCATGGCATTACCTTTTACCTCTTTGTGTGATGTTTTCTCTAATCATGTTCTCTTTTCCCTGAAAACATTTTGATTTTCTATAATATATAGTATATCCAGGCCTTTCTCCTGCTTCAGTTTGTGTGTTTGAGCTTTAATGTTTTCTTCATGAATTTTCTATTCTGAAATTTTAACTAGATAGTGTAATAGAGTAAAACAATTTTATTTTTGGATTGTTTTTTTTTTTTTTTGAAGACTATGGTTGAAAATAAAAAAAGCTATTACATAGAGTCACAAATAAAAGGAAAACAAAAACAAAAACAAAAACATAGAAGGTTATTTGAGACTTAGGGAACCTGCATTAGAAGAGGGATTGAACTAGATGATTTCCAGAGGCCCCTTCTAAACCCTATGATTCTGTGATTCTGTGAATTCTTGAAAATTGAGCTAAAAATTTCAGAAAGTAGTATCTCACAAGAAACTATCACATACTCTCTAATGTGTTTGAATTTGCACCTCTGTAATAGAAGAATAATATGAAAGTGGTCTCTTGGTGCCTAGATTGGGCCATAAATCCCCATTTATTATAAAGCATCACATTTGTGTTGATGGAATCTAACTATCTGGACCAGATTTTTTTCTACTACTCCTTGACAAATGATAATAACAAAAAAGCCAGAGAGTATTTTTTGTTGTTTGGTTGTTCTCTTTTCTTCTATCATATCCACATAGTTGTCTATCACTATATAATCATGCTGAGGCATGAGAAATAAAGATTATGAACGTGTACCTTTCTTGAAGAAGATAAAGGAAAAAAATGTTCCTTTCAACCTTTACTGCCATTTTTCAGCCACTGGGTACCACCATATAGTTGAGTTATAACTGCTTGAAAATTTTTCTTTTGAGTGACATTCAAGGTCAGTCAGAGAAGCACCCATCATCCTGTCCTAATCAATCAACAGATTAATTGAGCAGATTCTGAATCTTCATAGGCCAGATACTCACTTTGTTTCAGATGGTGAGATTCCTTTGACTTTAATGACAGTGTAGAAATTTATACTGTCAAAGCATTCAGAAGTTTTTCAAAATTAAGAAGTTTTCTTCAGAACAGACAATTTCTATCATAGCAGTGACGCAAAATGAACCATCAAACGTTTTGGAATACAGAACTACTAGCAATATTTCCTATTACTTTGGAGTTCAGCTGTTTTTTAGCTTTTTTCTTTTTTTTTTTTTTTTCCTTAAATGTCTTAATTTTATGTAAAAGAATGCAGAAATAATTACAACAGAATAATATTATGATTTTGTATTTTTGTAAATAATCTTATTATCCTACTATGAATCTGTATCTGGATTTTAAATACAAATCTCTAGTTATTTTGTGTGTTTCCTTTAATAATGGAAGGATGAAATTGTCACTGAAACCCTAATTAAACCACACTAGTTCTGTGTTAGGATTCTTGTACTTTGGGGGATTTTGAACCAATTAAATATTTAGAACATATTCTACAACTACACTTGCTTTGGCTCACATAAAGGTTAATGGGAATTAGCCAGGTGCATCAGGGGGAGAATGACATTTCTGTTTATTTCAACACCCTTCATTGAGAAAAGAAAGATTTGTCTGAATATAATACAGCATTTTATTTCATGATTTTACAAATTTTATTGTAAATCATCAAACAAATTCAATAGCCAATTTTTTTCCATTCCAAACCATCAGAAGTAGGAGTTTTCATTATGTTGTATGACAATTACTTTTTTCCCCTTTTTATTTTAAAGAATTAACTTAAAATTAAATATGCATTATGTAAGCATACTAATTTTCAGAATCTTTGCTGAAGGTGTTTTTATCTTGCTTTTACTTCAGACAAAGATAACTTGTTCTTTGTTATCACATACATGGGGATGAAACTCTCACAAACATCAGAGATTTTGCTTTCTCAGTCCCTATTCACAATGGAAATGGCCAGCTCAGTCTCTATGAAGATTTATGAGAACTGGGTAGTAGACACAAACCTCCCTCCTTTGCCCAAATATCATTACATAGTTTCTAAAATTTGGGTGATATTTCATATATTCTTGTCTTAGAAAGATGATAAGGTTAAATTATGCCTCAGTAAACAAGTGATCTCATTACTTACAAATGACAGGTTATTTATGATAATTCTATGGTTTTCTTTTTTTGTTTGTTTTAAATAGCCAAATGAAATATTTTCCATATAAAGGCCATCTTAACCATCTTTTTTTCTTGAAATAAAATTTCTATATAGCCATCCTACACTTTTTTTTTTTTTGTTTAGATACAAAGAAATTTACTGTAGATGGTAGTGAAATTTTCAGCATCTTAGGGCAGTATTTCAAAATGTTAAGTTCAGGAAGTCAGGATAGGCAGAGCACAAAAATAAACGTTGTAGCAACTAAGAGCTAGGTCCAGCAAAAACTTATCATGGTGTGCTCTACTGGCTTCTCTCAGAAATCCCAGCAAACACTGGCCACATTTTTAGTGGCAAGAATTAACAGGTTAGGGCAGTAAAACTGAGGTTGTTGTAAGTACCAGTACTAACACAAAGTACTGTATGTATTTTGCTCAAATCACGCAGCAAAAAAACAAAATAACTAAAGCTGACATAAGTTTAATAATCCTTTTTTTTTTTTTTTTATTTTTTTTTCTTTTTTTTTTACTTTTTTTTTTTTTTTTTTTTTTTAAATTTTGTGGTACTTTAACTGTTATCACAATGTGGTCAAGAGGTCTGTGTCTTTTACCATTTACACACAATTGTTCATGACAGCATGTTACCAGCCTAGTGGAAATCAGGGGTGTTGTATGGTAAGCAGTGGTGGTAGTGCACCTAGTTTTTATATTATCTAACTTGAAAATATGACTCTTCTAAGATTCCTTTTTCTTGATAAAAATAGTTTTCACCAAACGTTGGTGGTGCTCACGCACTACCACTCATGCTTGGCATCACACCCCTGACAGAAACATATGCTCTTATTTTGTTGATAAAAAGTATTACAAAAATTTCCATACAAAAACTATTTTCATAGAAATCTTGCATTTCCACAAATAAACCTGAACATTTTTTTTTTTTTGAAAAAAAAAAAACTGCTCAAGAATTTTGTTCATTTAGTACTGTGACTGTATTGAAAAATGCAGTCCTCCTTAAAGTTCTCCACATTCACTTCTTTTAGGTGACCCATTCTACTTCCAACATTTGTGAGAATTGCACAGGCTCCATTGAGTTCAATTAGTAGCAGGAACAAAGGCTTCAAAACCCATTCAGACTAAAATGCAAGTCTCTATACATGAAACACATTGCTTTCCCACCCCTATCCCCTGTCCTTATTACTCCCCCCCTTCTCACATTTTAAGAAAAAAAAAGTAATTGTTTTTATCTAAAAGTTGTAATATAGATTCTTTTGTACTCACAGACCTTTTATTCCTCTAAGAATTGGGTCAAAATTATGGATTATTCTTGTTTTTTATCAAAGTTCCAACCCAGGTAAATTTAAGTTAATGTTTTTTGTTTTTTTAAAAATTATTTAATTATTATTTATTTACTTAGTTCAGTGACACAGACAGTCCAAAAAGCAGGTGAGCATCTCCATGTATATTCTTCTATTCATGGATTCATGTTTCTTTGCTGTAATATTTCTCCCATCCAGGAAGCTCATACCACCTGTCCTGATGGCAGTTACAGTCTACCAACAGTAACCAATACTTCTATATTTGGAAGTTCAGAAGAACTTATGGTTTCTTGTTTCACTACAGTTCTGAGATATTACTTCTACTAGACTCCTTCTGTGGTTAGTAGCATTTCAAATATTTATTCTCCATCTCCTGGCAACGGTTGAACTTCAAAAGGAACCTGTAATTTCTCTTTGAGACTGCATTTGAAACCAGCCACAAAACTCATATGGAACATTCATTCATTCATAATGGTGGAAACCCATGACGAACAGTGTAACCCTGCATAACTCGGTTGATCCATGATGCTTGTGATTTGAGTCTGGCCATTGCAACTGTTGAGATCACAGAGTCTCTAGTTCATAGACACAGCGGCATGAGGTAACTCATTTTATTTTGCACAGGTTGCATATTTCCACAGGAAACATTCTCGCAAGGTTGTTTGGAAAAAGGACGACAGTTTGTGCTTGGGGTGTTAGGCTTCCCAGCTCTACGCCATGGTTTCTTTACCCGGCAACCTTCTGTCGTTAAATGTGTGCATGTTGATAACTTCTTCTGTTTTCACAATAACAGGGGCCTGTGGCTTGTGTTTTAATCGACGCTGACACTTCAGAGACATCCTTAGCTCCTCTACCATGGCACTACAGAAGGACCTCTAGAGAGGGAAATAGAGGGGGGGAAAAAAAAAGAAAAAAAAAACACATCTGTAAGAAGTATCTAACTGCAATGCCTAGAAGCAGATTCATTCCATTGGCACAGCCGTGTCAGTCCTTTAAGTTTGCTTTGTCTCAGCCTGGAGCTCATAACAAATTAATGTCTTTTAAATATGCATCGCATAATAATTAAAATGACTTATCAATCTGTGATGACTCACTGAAAAAAATTCACCTTGTCTCTACAATTATTTATCTTCCAGCTACTGACATGCATGCACATGATACATAAAAATATTTCAAACAGATGTTCCGTTAACATAGTTTAGCTTTACAGGATAACATCTGAATTTAATGTGTATGTTAGATATTCAGTAAAATTTCCCTTCCCATATTTCAACACAATGCATTTAATTTCTATGTAGTTTAGTTAGCTGATCCTTAACAAAACAGTAAGCTATATAGTGAAATATTTACCTAAATTAATATTTAACTACTGTAAAAATGCAGACCTATTACTGAAAAAAGGAATCTACTTTATTTTTTTTTCTAAAAAAACTTCTGCATTTAAACACTTCTTCCACTACCAAATATTATTTTGTAGAATATATTTTTTAAAATCTCCGTGTTTATGGATTCAGAAAAAAATTATAAACATGTTTTCTTCAATTAGATCCTCAAAACCATTTTTCCTTTTTTTCCTAGAGCACAACACATTTGAAAAGCAACTTAAAATCTCCCTTATTACTCTGATTTGAATGAATTCTGAACTGCTAATAGTGTGCTGAGCTATTAGCTCATTCTTGGTCTTAGAACTGAAGCATGGAATAAACAGAGGGGTGAAGAAGAGAACTCTCAATTTTGGGATCTTTTTCACTTTTATCACATGCTCTAAGTGAAATGCCTACCAGCTAGTGGATAAATGTATTTATGAAATAATATATTCTAGAGCCTGAGATAGCATGACAAGCTTCTGACAATGCTTCTCACGAAAAGCAATCGAGCTGGGAGACTTGGTCCAGAAAGATTTTAAGGAACTCATCCTACCTCATTCTTTGGAAGACTAATTTCAAATTGTGTTTTCAAAATCCACATTCAGTTCCAAATTCAAGAACTACTAAATTAGGAAGTGTGGGAGATATTGCAACTCTTAATCTGTGCAACCATTCATCAGGTGGAGTGTGAGCTGAACACGAGATTTGAGACTATCAATTCAATAGTGTTTTCTGCCAGAGGAGATTTAAACTCTAGTGTCTCAGCAGAGGACTGTAAAATTAAAGGAATGAGAACATATCAGGGTAAAATTACTTCCAGTTTCCTCCTACTTGTCCTATTCTGCTTCACATAAAAGCAGCAAATGGACACAGAGTGGAAGAAAGGGATAGAGTGAGAGCGCTAGAAACTCTGTAGATTAGGCACTGGGGAACTCAGTGGGAGAAGTAATCCTTCAGGGATAGTTTCTGCTTCATCAGTATATTTAAGTAAAAATCTTTATAATAAAAAAGAGTGCAAATGGGAGTTCAGTTCTGTCTTCAGTCATAGGATAGAACTCAACTCAAATCCCCTTAGTCCTGAACATACCCTCTTCTCAAATCTTTTTTATGAACAGGGGATATGCAGGAAGGAAGAAAAAATGTAATCTTAGCCTGCCTGGGATGCTCTTCCTTTCAAACACTTTTTCTCCTGCTGAATTTGAAATAAACTAATGACGCTTACTCAACTTGTGATAGAAAAGAGAACCCACAACTAAGGAAAATTTGAAATTGGAAATCCAAGAATCAGGAATATTTCTTTGGTATAATCAGGCGTAAGTTCTTTGGAGGCCAAATTTCAAGAAAAATCTCATCATTTCTGACTGCCTTCACCAGTGGACACTCATTAACTATCTCTTTTCAAATGTTCTATGCACTGTATTGAGATAAAATATGAAACTGATAGTTTTCACTGTGTGAAGATGTTCGCTGAAATTTCCGAATGAATGCTCTGAGCCATAATGCACCAGATTGCATAAATTATTCTTGATTAACATTGCATAGAAAGCAGGAAACTATCTCCTTTCATTCAACTGTGCTTTGGAACAAAGTATTCAATTCTCTTAGAATTCATTTTTAAAAGATTGCTGTTGTTTAACATCAGAACTGCAGTTATGCTTATGGAACTGAAAGTAGCCCTGAAATCAATACAAATTGCAATATTTAATTTAATATTTCCTACAGGCTCACAGGTGAAATTACTAAGGCATGCAGATCTTGGCATTTTCACTATGTGAAGAACTTAACACATAATTCAGGAACTTCACAGGAATTTGTTTAGAAGTAAGTGCTGCAGGTCTCAGTGTTACATTACCAGCAGCCATTATATTGCTCTCACCTCTGGAATTAAGACCTAGCTGAAACACTGAAAAATGATGCATTAGCTCTTAAAACTTTCAAGATTTTATTCCTTGCTCTCTCTGCCAAGAGATCTTTAAAAGTGACAGAACGGAGTCAATGCTTTTCAAGATTCATCAATCCACCAAAATGTTTTTTTACAGATATGCAAACACTTAGCAAAAGATATCAAGTTTTAGACACTATCAGTATGAACAGGATTACAATCAAAGACCAAGAAGAAAGAAGATGCATATATTCAATGCCAGCATCCTGAAATAACCTGAAAATAACATCTGAAGAAAACTACCAATGTATTCCTTGAAAATTTTACCTCAATTGGAAAACTCCATAAAATGAGAAATGCTGCCAAGATTTACAGTACTAGAAGGGTACTTAACAAAATTTTGTGATAGTTATTTTTTCTAGGAAATTCTTGCACTGTGTTTTCAAGTTAAGTTCATGTGAAATTAGCTCCATGCATTATATGAAATAAAATAAAACAAACCTAACTACTTAATTTAGTATCTTTTTTCAGGTATGCTATGCGTTATTTTAAAATAATCGAATGTATAAAAAAAAAACAATTAAACTGAGTAAAATAAATAATATATATTTTTTTTTCCTTAAAATTTCATTCACTGAAATATTCATCCATTTTAAAACAGATGAGTTCAAGGTTATGGTAAAGTTCATGATGTGGATTCTTTTCTTTGGATTTTGTCAGAGAAATGTGCCATACAGAAAAGTTTTCCAACATATTGAAAAATCATGTTCAAAAAAGTTTACAAATGATTACTTCACATTTGACCTTTTTAAATATAAATTCTTTCCTTCTCTCTTTTTTATTCCAGTCAGAGTACAATTTTCTGTACAGTTAAATTCTGTGTTCTTACAAGGAACAAGTTGGAATACATCTTTGGGAAGAACACGATGTGAAAGAGAAGCAGCTATGTAATACTTTCTCTGACAAATAAAAGACATTTTCAGGCATTATTTTAGAAAAGATAATCCACTGTCTCAACGTTGATATCGTCTGACCACTCAGATTGTTGGGAAAAAGGGTGAAACGCTTTCAGAACTTGGAGGTTATATTTCAAATCTTGCTGTACACCATGAAAATGAGCTATTTTAACAGGTATTACAAGATTCACTTCATAATTCAATTAAAATAACCTTTTGCCCTGACTTAGCTTCGACACTGCAGGCAAATTACAGGAACATCAGTTATTATTGATTTTCCTCCAACACTTACAAAATCATAAGTTGTCTTCCTGAATGGCAACAAAAAGTAAATGCTGCCTCCAAGTCACCTTAGATACAATCAAATAGCAGGGGAATTGGAGGAAGGCATACAAATTGCTAAACACTAGCAGCACTAAGTGCAACTATTCTGTTGCAGAAAGCAAGCACTATAAAACATTAGAAAAAATGTCTGTAGTTTTAAAAGACTTCAAGTGCACAAAAGAAAATTTTAATCAGAGCTGTAGTTTTTAGCCTTCTAATACAAAGCAATTCTTAAAACAAAAACAAAAACAAAAAACTCTCATCTCTGTAAGTGTGAAGAAATAAAAGATACCTCTTTCATCTTTCATTCTTTGCCACAGCTGACAGCTCACAAATCATGAAGAACCAAGATAATCATTTAGCAGAACGTTATCACCGTTTACAAACTATTTACATAGCTTGTGCATGGTGCTACAGCCTGAAAATAAATGTTTCTTTGCATGCATGTATTAATATGAAAATTACACAATATTTAACTTTTTTCATTATATTGCTTTATAAGAATTTAGAAAGGTAGTTAGAAAACATACTAGCATTTGTTATAAACAGAGTTATAAAACTGTCACTATAAGTTTTGTTTTTAATGTCCTAAAAAGAGAAACAAAAATATAATGGCAAGCTAAAATCACTTTTAGCATTCTGAGTAAAGCGAATAATATTCTATCTATTTTAAATATAAGCGTCACAAGTGTTCGCTTTTTTATAGATTTTTCCCTCTTTAATGGATTTAACATGAAGTTGACCATCAACATTTAGCACAAAACTATAAGATTTATGTTTAATTTCATTATTACTTTGAGTCTTGCATGTCAGATATTATTTGAAATCTTGTTAAATTCTCTTAAAGCAGTAGCAGCAGTAATCCAGCATATTCTTGCTATGTTACGGGTCAGTGTTTTAGCACTTAACAGGATATATCAATCAAAATTTTTTCATATTCATGAGGTTAGCTGAGATTCAATGCACAGCTCTGCCCTGCCCTGCCCTTCCCTTGTAATCATTTTTTTCCTTCCGAATGCCAGATATTTTGAATGCATTTGTGAAAAATCTGTCCCAAACCCCTGGAAAGAAATAGAAATCCTAGCAAAGTGTTTACATAAGATCGCAAACAGATGAGAAACTAAAGGCATGAAAATAAACTTGGAAAAAGAGATTACCTCATGGAATGTAAGCATTACCTTATCAAAATAAATTAAAGTGTACTTATAAAGCTTAGATTTTTAGGATTCATAGTTATGTATCTAGTCTTAAACCAAAGAGTGTACACACACATATATGTATATACATTAAAAGATTTTGCTATAAAATCTGATGTAGTATATTTTCAATCCAAAGTAAGTGTAACA